TGCAATATGGATGGACCTGGAGATTATGCTAAGCAAAATAATCCAGGCAGAGAAAAACAAACATCACATGATCTCACTTATTTGTGGAATCTAAAGAACTTAATAAACTGATAAACAAAACAGATTCAGTGATATGGAAGCATGGATCAGACTGACAAATCTCAGAGAGAAGGTGGGGATAGGTGGGTGGGTGGGTAGAGATTAACCAAAGAATTTAAATGCATATATGCATAACACAAGGACACACAATAGTGTGGTAAGGGACTGGGGAGGGGAGTGGGTGCGGGGTGGAAGAGGTCAATGGGGAGAAAAGGGGACATCTGCAATATTTCGAATTAAAAAATAAATAAATAAATCACTATAGATTTCCCTGTTTAAAACGTAAGGCCTAAAATATTTTGATCTCCTTTCAATCATTCCATTTCAGGAGATTACATCTGGCTCAACTTAACATGAAATAAGTTTGGGTTTGGGAGGGGAAAAAACAAAAACAAAACAATAACTGAGCAAGTGAATTTTTAAAAGTCCTGTGAACTGTGAACAACCCTTCCTCCTAACTTTCTGGAACCCGCCATCATTTTCCTAAGCTGTTCATGTCATTTCCACCATAAAACAGTAGGTTAAGAGGATGATGCTATCTTAAAATCGCAGGATCAAATTTCCAACTAAGGACAGCAGTATAAACACCTCTTTCCCAAAACCTCTCTAAAACTGTAATAAAAGAATTTTTCTTAAAGGCATAAACCAAAACAAAAAGAAGAGAACAGCAACAAACTTTTAAAAGCTGGACCACTGATGCATACGGGTTAACGGCAGAAATGAGAAAGAAATCCTAAGCCAGTACTGGACAAAGCTAAGCACCAGCCAAATAAACACAGAACCTCCCAAAAGGTTCAGGACGCAGCTGCATAGTGAACTTCGGGGAGCAGACGTGATGGTGCACAGAGAAGGCTGGGGAAGGCTGTGCAAGAACCTATTCCACCTGCACAGCCTACTCTGCAGCTTCCACAGCAGACGTTTCTTCTCTGGAGGTCAAGCAGCAGGTCTCAGGACTGGGCTGCTGGCACAGGTGACGACAAGGGGTATTCTTTAAGTAAGCTTTGGCTATGTAGCTACTACACAAAAACACAGTGGCTTTAGAGCTAATATTTATTAATTCTCATGATTCCCTGGACTGACTGGGAAGTTTTGGTCTGTGCTAGGTGGGGTAGGATGGCCTCCCTCACAGGCCTGGGCTACTCCACCGCTCATCTGCCAGAAATAGCCTAGGCTTGTTCATCTGCTGGCAGAATGGTTTCGGCAGCAAGAAGGGCCAAGCCCAACGCAAAACCACTTTTCAAGCCTCTCTGACATACCACTTAAGCTACTCAGTTTGGGGTGCCATTTGGTCATGTTCCATTGGCAAAGGAGTCACATGATCATAGTCAAAGAGATTCTGCAAAATGCTACAGACACTTCTTTTTTTATCTACCACAGGTATGATAACGAAGAGCAAGTTTATATCCGGAAGAATAGCAGATGTCTTGCAGCCCTCTTACCTACTTGGCTCCCAGGACATGGGCAGCTGGGCAGTCTTCTCTGGGAACCTGACCAGCCAGGAGAGACAAATGATCTGATATCACGAGTTCCTCAAGATAAGGGCTCAGCAGATAAGCCTGGAGCAGAGATCACCTGCATCCTGAGAGCGAGTTTCCAATCAACTTCCTATCCCACCCGTGGGTCTTCACAGCCAGAAGACAGCAAAGGAACATCAGAGTAAGAAAAACTGGAATGTAATTTTTAAAATACCAAAGCAATCTAACAACATTTCAAGCAATCTAACATTTTGACTGTGTTGGTTGTTACATGACTGTATTTGTCAAAACTCAGAATTATATGCTAAAAAGGGTATTGTATCTCCAAAAAACTGTAAAAAAAACAACTCTGAGGAAACAGATATGTAAAAAGAAGAAGTCTTAAAATGAAAATAATCATTAATATCCTCAGGGAGGTAAGAGCAGAAATGGAAAAACTGGACCCATAAAACCAAAAAACTTCGGAGAATAAAAAAGGAGTTCTTGTTTGAAATTAAACATGTGAGCAAAGTTCAATAGAAAGGCTATAAGTAGACAAAGCCGAAAAACAAAAGGACAAAACAAATCACAAGCACCAAGGACATGGGAATCCTAGAAAGAAAGACCAGAGAACATAGAGGAAAGAAAATCAAAGGAATTAACAGGAAAAAAATCCCCAAAATGGAAGTGTGAATTTGCAGAATGAACTGTCCCAGCAAGTGCACAGCACAGTAAACAAAACAAAGCCACACCCGGACAGACACAACATGGTGAAATTCAGACCACTGGAGCAAAGAAAAGATCAAGTAAGGAATAGTGTTCAGAGAGGAAGAAATGAGGTTTCACACAGAGGATCAGTCAGAACAGCTTCAAGCTCAACAGCAAACTGAAAACCAGAAGACAATAGAGACCAGAGAGAAACCCTTGAAAAGTCTAAGAAATGGTTTGGCATAGAATTCTCTACTGAATCACATAGTTGACTTCAAAGGAGACTAGAACAAAGGCATTTTCAGATATCCAAAGTGTCAACAAATTCGCATCCCATGCACCCGAGTAGCTACCTAAAGGATGTGCTTAGCCAGAACTGACGAAAACAGAAGGGTGTGAGGGAAGCGTGAGGAACCACCAAGAAATAGGATGGACGCAAAACCAGAGAAGGAATTCCCTGACTGCGAAGGGGGTCTCCAGGATGACAGCCAGGTGTAGCTGCTATAGCATTACCAACCCCAAACTACCAAGAGATTTGACCAAGAAGACGACACTGACAGAGTGGAAGATCCACTGTGTGGGAAAGAGGCGAGATTTCCTGTCTGGGTAAAGGTGGAGGGCTGAATTAGTAAGGAGTACATACACAGACAGCCAAGCAAATGAAAAAACAAAGGCAACGTTTACTTCACTTTGGAGAAAACAAAATAATGGGCAGGTGAGGAAGAGTAATCACAGCACACTACAGGTCAGCTGTAGTCTGGATGGTCACAATTCTGCAAACACTGAGTAAACTACACCCAAATGTAACTCTCCTGGAAGACTGGGAGAGAAGTGTGTGAACCGTGAGACCAGGGAGGTAAAGGATCACCACATGCTACCTTCCATTCATCCTTCAGTGCAGATCTATTACCTAAAGTTGAAAATTAATTTTAAATACCAAGAAAAGCAGGTCTCTGAGATGTGGAGCAAATATCCAATCAGCTGAAGTATGTCCATCTAAAGAGCAAGAAATGTGGTAGTCAGGGGTGGGGGGTAAGGGGAGTCTTTTTTTTTTTTTAACTAAAAAGGCTTGAATGATTAGATTCTTCAATCCATATGTATGTACACTCGCGTGTCACTTAACAGCAATACAAATGTGCTGTTGGGTGATTCCGTTGTTGTAGATGACTTGCCTGCACTAATCCTACAGTCTTAGCTCCCCTGCAGTGTGGCCACTGATATTTTTGCTCAGTTTGGGTTTTTCTTCAAGTGTTTTTAATTTTTAAGCCTAGATTCCGAAGAGTAGCTTTGTGTCAGCACAGTACAGCTGATCAGAAGTTATGCTTCAGTACCTTCAACCAGTAGGGCTTTTGCCCTTTGCTAGCGGAGCTGTGTGTGGGTTGGGGAGGAACACGGTCAAAGGTCAGGCACTTTACAAGTCTTCCCTGGCTTTCACTCTCTGCAGGGCTTTCTTATGTCTCCTCTGCACCTGCACGAGGCACCCTATTTAGCCAGGGCAGATAATTAGATAACCAGGCCCTGTCTGATCTCTCTTCAGCCTGTGCACCGCACCTTGCCCCAATGAAGTCTTCCAAACCCCAGGAATACATATGAGCTTATCAAGACCCACCATAAAAAAAATCCAATGTAAATAATTTATTAAATAAGAAAGAAAAATACTAAATGGTTAAGTGACTTGGGAAAATGAGACACTTAGCTTTTCAAAATGCCAAGAAAATCCATTCAACCACTGATTTTCAAAGCATCTCCTCAGAGCAGCAGAATTTCCAAGGCAAAGACCTGACGTGAAACCACTCATTTTCTAGCCTGTGGCTGGAATTATGGTACTGTCTTCAGTCCCCTGGGTGTCCACCAACCTTGCAGAGGGTCCCAAGAGATTTCACTCCATGAAGCTCTGGCAGCACATCCTTCCCTAACTTCCTATCCTGTCCACTTGGAGTCCCTCCTTGGCTCCTACTCTGATAGGCAAAGGCCCCTGCCAGGCTTAGAGGGCACCTCTCCGGCCCCTCACCTGCCCTCTCCCATCACCAGAGCTGCCTAAAGGCTGCTGGCTGAGCCTCCAGGGTTGGAAGAGTTTCCTTCCTGATACCTCGCTGTTCAAAACTGAGTCCACAAAGTCACAGAAGCACCAACCACCCGTAATTGCAACCTTTACCTCAGTTCACAGTGTCACCGTGATGAACCCAATGAGAGATGATACACTACCCTCCCCACGGGAGCCAGATGTGGGGCAGGGACAGCTCTACCTGGGCACCTCTCCTCCTTCCTTCCCAAAGTCTACTCTCCCCTGACCTCTCCCTGTATTTAACTGGCTCCCCTGCTTTCCTCCACCAATGTCCACTATTTTAAGGTGAGAGAGCATTAGACATGAACTGTAAATACTGCACTTGCATTACTAACACATCACCTAATGCCCTCTGCCTCAGTTTTTTCATCTACAAATGGAAATAATGTTCCTTAAGGATAGAGACCCTGAGGTCATCTCTACAGAATCCACCATCTTGCCTAATGCCAGACACACTGAACCATTCAGAGTGAATGAACGATGCATCCGAGGCCCCACTTCTGAGGAGCAATCCTCAGTAAATATACTCTCCTCTTGCTCCTGGCGCTCTCCCCAGCCCTCACCAAGAACAATCCAGGTGCACACCCACGGCCACACCTCCATGCCCTCAGGGACCCGGAAGACTCAAGCCACTACTAAGATGGCTAAGATGCAGAAGGGAAAGTAGGACCTACCTGGAAGGAAGTGGGGACACAGACAAGGCTCAGGTTCTCCTGCTTCACTCTTTCCGCTGTGGAGACAGAATCAGTGCTAGTGGGTCTTCACTCTCTCACTTTACTTTTTGAATCTTGTACACATTTGCTCAAATCCAACAAAAAAGGAAAGGTCTACCCCCCATTGACAGCTGCCTTTCATTCTGTGCCCTCCCCTTGGTGACAAAGTTGGTGAACTACATCACACATCACACGACAGGGACACTAGAAAGTCCCAGGGAGTAAGTACTAACTACAGGAAGCACAACCCCAGTGTTTGCTACTACTACATGCTTGGCGATATTCAAAGAACTTTGTGAACCCTTTAATCTTGAAGGTCGGTTACAACCCAAAGATATGGTACAATTATTATCTCAATTTTACAGAAGTGGAAACTGAGGCACAGAGAGGTAAAGTAACTGGGTAGCTACACAGCTAACAAGTGACAGAGCTGGAATATGATGCCAAGCAGTCTAGCTTCAGTCTTAACTACATCCCTATATTGCCTTTTATAGGGAAAAGCTAGAACTCAACTTTTACATTTAGTACAAAAAAATATAATAATTTGTAGCCCCTGGAGGGTTGTTAAAGTGGGTTTATTTATGCATTTGGGGTTTCTATCTTTTGGGAAAACTTGACTTTAAAAAAAAAATCTTAAGAAAAACACTGTCTTGTTAAGACTTAAATCTCTTTAATCACTGGGTTGCATCTTAAGGTTTATGTGTCACTATTATGAAACGCACAGTTAATTCCTGAGCTTAAAATACGCCACATTCTCAGTGCTAAGGCAGAAGGGTGTACATTACAGCCCCTGTTCAGCCAGTGAGAAGGCTTCCAGGAGCCATCATGCAAGCCCCAGAGCTACTCCTTAAAGACAGGGAGTTGCTGGACTTTGACTCCTGAGCACTTTCCCCAGGGAACTAGAAGAGGTCAGCAAGCAGGCAAGCCTCTCCTCTGGGCTTTGTTCTTACAAACAAAAGCAGGACAGGAAAACCTGTTGAGCAGCCACAGGGGCTGAGAATTCCTGCACCTTTCCTAAGCAGAGACACCTTAATCAGAATCAAGTCAGCACCTGTGGGCACCAGCTACCAACTGCAGGCACCTCCCATTCACTCCAGGGTCAAGCCTGCACTGACCTTGATTTGTTTGCCTGAAGTTGCCTGAGAAACCCACAGTTTTCAGAGAGCTTGCCTCAGGGTCCCCGTGATGGAAAACAAACACACACACACACACACTCTCTCTCTCTCTCTCTCTCTCTCTCTCTCTCTCTCTCTGATGGGGATTAAAATTGTGTTGAGACCCCACTCTAAGTCTATTCCTCCCCTCCAGCTGAGTAAACAAAGCTAGAGTAACCCCCAAAGGTGGCTGAAGATATTCAAGAATCCCTCTAAGGGAAGAGCAGAAACACTCAGCTGAGAGACAAGCAGCCCCTTTCCCCAGCTCCATACTGCTGGAGCCATATCCAGCAGGTGTCAAACCTTTGCCCCACTCCTGCCCTCCACTTCTACCCCCACACCCTCCATGCCCCCCAAAAGATACAGAAAACAGCCCACAAACATACCTATTCGCTGCACAGCATGGACAATTGTAGAACCACTTCCAATTCCCAGCACTTGGTTATTCTGCCAGAAAAGGGGGAGAGAAAAAACAAAACTTATACCATCTTTTATTCCCTCTCCAGCCTGCTTGCTAGAGTTATAAAATTATTATGACATTAATTCATGAACCAGGGTGCCCATTTTACAGACACATAACCACTGGTCTTTATTATAGTGCCCAGTGGCAGCTTATCAGAGCCCTCCTGCTTTCATCTCTGACACTGACATCACCACCTCCACCTGTTGAGAGATACATTGAGCAAGTTTACAAATGTCAAGAGTTTATTTGAGCAAAAACTGACTTCAATTGGGCAGCATCCAATCTAGGAGACAGAGGAGCTCCAAGGAACTGTCCAAAATGAAAGACTTTCACAGACTTTCCTCTAAGGGATGGCAGGGTCTTTCAGGCTGATTGACTGGCTTAGATTCCATTCCTGGGAGCCAAACTGTCATTAAGACTTGGTTTGGGGATGTGGGGCTTAGCATGTGCGACTCCATTTTGGGGCTGCTGTCTAACAGTGAATACTCCCTATCAGACAAAAGGCTTGGCTTGCTTACAGTGTACAGCAACTGAAGTTGGCCTCCCAACGGTGGCCTGCAGATGAGCCCAGAAAGGTCCCTGTCTAACCCCTAGGAAGGGCATCAGAGAGCAAAAACTATAGGAAAGAACAGCAGAGCCTACATGCAACCATAGAACAGGAAGCAGGGATTTCTGGCCTCAGTGCCTTGTTACAAATGCCTAACATCTAGAAGGCAGGGGACTGACCCCAGATACCTTCACATTGGGGCACCACAGGGAACCTGATGGACATATACAGCCCACTGTCCAGAGCCCCCAAAAGTCAACAGAAGAGGGGAGAGTCTGAAGTATCCCTGACATAGCAATTATAATGGTCTCCGTGCAGGTGATGTTAAGGGGTCTACGTCTTGCATCAGCTGCCTCAGAGAGTCTGCAGAGGGCAAAGGCTTAGTTAGAAGTATGAGGAAAAGTTTTCATCTGCAATAGGACTTGCAAAGATGTCGAACACTTCCTGGGTGCAACGAACAAGACAAGGACTCACACTACTGAGCCTGCCTTCTTAACAAAGGGGAAGGTGCCTAGGAGCAGAGCAGAGGCCCAGCTGCAGTCAGTTAAACCACACACAGCACAAAGTCAGGGCAGAACACTCAGGAACTAATGTGAAGCCCAGGTCCTAAGCAACTTTCTGGGAGCAATCTCCCGCCAGTCTAAGGCCAAAGGGCTGAAAACCAAAGCAGCAGCTACCATTTACTAAGTGTCTTCCAAGAAAATGGATAAATATTATAAGTCCCTTCTCACAACAAGCCCTTGTGATCTGAAGACCCATTATCCACACTTTAGAGATGAATTCAACACTCTAGGAAAAAGTGAAGACTTAGAAATGAGCACAAGAGATCACGGGTGGCCACTCAATGTCTTGCTGGAGTCTGTAGGTACTGTGTTACCTGATCCTTCAGGGGGGTGGGCCTTTGCCTTTGACACAGCACAGGGGCCTGGGTCCAAGACCCTAAGGGTGCCAGATGGTCCAAAGGAATGTGGGATTGCAGGCTGTCACCACCTCTCCATTCCCTACTCAAAAATGCAGAAGTAGCTAATTTTATCCCCATTCTAACTGCCTCTTTGACTGCTGACCCACATGCGCAGTTGATCAAGGTTTGACCGCTATTTGACCTTCCTACGGTGGTGGTAGTGAGCAGATGGCCATCTTGCCCCCACAGCTCAGGAACCAATGTACAAACCAGGCAACAAAGCTGGAAAAGGCAATCACCCAAGCCTGGAATAGAAAATTCTGCATGCCTGCCTTTTTCAAAAAACCCTCCTATTCAAAAAGACCCCCTTACAGGACAGCCCAGTTTGTCCACAGCCTATAAAAGCAGCCAAGCACAGCCAGCCCCGGGACCAGTTCAGAGGACCTTTCTTTCCTCTGTGCTGCCTCCCTTGTGCTCAAGCATAAGCTTAATAAAATCTGTCTGGAAATTTCTCTGGGGTTTCCTCTCAATTTCTATCTTGGGAAACCCAAGAACCCCAATGCCAGTAACACCTTGACTAGGCCATTTTACAACTCTGTAGAAATAGACTTTAACTTTTAGAAAACCATTAACAATACAAATAATTCAAGTCCATATAAATGTAAATTGATTGTTTTATAAGACCCATTTGATTACTACCCTAGAGATAGATCTGTAGTAGGCAGTTAGACAAGAACAAAGACAATGGGCCAGGTAAAGAAGGTCACCAGGGCAGAAAGCCTGGGGTGCATAGCCACAGACAATTTTAAGGTGGGACCTTGCCCACAGGGTAACCTTTCCTCCCCTAGCATATAGCTGGTCATGCAGTTTGGACCCCCACACTGTTTCATATCACTGGATGTGGTTTAGACCCCTTGATCTTCCCTCCCTAGAGATAACATCTAGGCCTCAGTTGTATTTTAGTAGCTCCAGGTCCAGAAAGGCAGCAAAACCAGACAGTGATGCCACAGCTGACTTCAGGACCAGCTGCACTGAGTAATGACCCCCTGCCCTGGGGCCAACCAATCAATCAGTGGAGACCCCAACCCTGAAAAGACACACCTGGAAAACTGCTGAATATTCTATTGAGATCTTCCCCTGGGACATCCCCTAAAATCTCCACCCTTAAAACCCTTAAGATGGAGCTCCCAGCTTGCTCTCCCTCCCAAGACCATGCTCATGTCTTTCCCCTTCATCTCCCTCACCCCTTCCCGTGAAGATGCATTACCATTACCTTCCTCACTCCCAAGCTCCAAGGGACCTTCTTTTGCCTCTGTAACTTGTTTCCTGAGCCCATTTCTTCTACCATTGATTTCTTCCACTTCTGTAATTTTCTAAATAAATATTCTCTTATAGTTTGAGTCTTGGCTCTGAATTCTTTCTTAGCCACAACTCAAGTACCAAGGTTGCTGAACCCGGGTCTGGTCTAATAACTGGTACCATTCCCATTGCCACCAACAGATCTTGTAAATTTTAACATTTTTGACTGCATATAAATTTATGGTTCTTTCTTCTGGTGAAGATGGCGGCACAGATAAACAAGGCACTCAGAACCTCCCACAGCCACACCAAAACTACAGCTCAATCATAGAACACCCACTCCTTCAGGATGCCTAAAATATAGCTAAACATAAGTCCTCTAACTAAGGATATAAAGAAGCCACATGAGACTGGTAGGAGGGGTGGAGACAGGGAACCGGCTGGTTCCACACCCATATGTGGAGGTTAAAAATTGGGAGGAATATCTCGGCTGCGGTGGTTCCCCATAAGGGGAGAGGAGTCCCAGCCCCACATAGGCTCCCCAGCCCAGGGTTCTAGTGCCTAGAAGAGACATACCCATAATTTCTGGCTGTAAAAACCAGCAGAGATTGTGGCTTAGTGCGATGAAGGCAGTTGGAGGCAGTTCCTCCTAAAGGCCCAAGCCTAGACTTACTTGGACTCACTCTGGGCTCCAGCTCTGGAGCAGGAGCTGGAAAGGTTCCAGGGAAATAGTGGGAGGAAATGAATTGTCTGGTTTCAAGGCGAGGGCTGGAGGAGAAGCTTTCTCCCAGACAGAAGTGTTGGGAGAGGCCGCTGTTCCTTTGCTGAGCCCTTCTCCACAGACCCGGAGGGTGGGCACCATATCTGAGTCTCCATCAACCTGCCTAACACTATTTGCCCCCTTCTGGTGATTCCCTGAGACCCTGCCTCACCGCATTTGCAGGCCCAACCCAGTCTGTTTCTTGTGGCTTTCCTATACAAATGGCCTCTCTTGGCTCAGGCTTCAGACTTTCCTAAACTCTCTCAAACAAGCAGCATCTAGCCTCTGCATACTCATTACCTCTTGCTAAATGGCTTCAGGCCTGGCACTAGTGGCAGACAGCCTCGGTTCACAGCTTGGCCTCTCCTGGACACATTCAAGCCCAGCACAAGTATCAGCCACCTGCAGATTTCTTTGTAGCCCATTCCAGGTGGCCCCAGGCAGGGCACAGGAGGGGGCTGACTTTGCACTTCCCAGGAGGCCCCAGGACCAGTGCACCTGGTAGACAGCTTTAGATTACACAGTATTATAACCCAACCACCTCTATGAGCAACACACTCAAGGGGCGGACTCAATGGACAGCAAAGCCCCACTGCAGCAAGTCCTGCTCCATAGGGTCAGCTCCTGCACAGCAGCTCCTCTGCTATAGTCACAGCCAGTCCTCACAGCTGATTAGACTGGGGTGTCAATCGCTACCATTGACGTGCCAATAGCAATCAAGGCTCAACTACAATAGGACAAGGTACATAGCCCACACGGGGGGCTCACCTAGAGCACCCAGCTAGGGTAATAAGGGAGGCTGTGCCACTGGGCCCTACAGTACACCTAATACATAAGGCCATTCTACCAAGTATGGAAGATGTAGCAGCTCTACCTAATACACAGAAACAACCACAGGGAAGCAACCAAAATGAGGAGACAAAGAAACAGGTCCCAAGTAAAAGAACAGAAGAAATCTCCATACAGGGAACTAAATAAAATGGAGGCAAGCAATCTACCAGATACAGAGTTCAAAACAATGGTTATAAGGATGCTCAAGAAATTTAGTGAGAGTTTCAACAGCATAAAAAAGGATATGGAAACCATAAAAAAGAACCAGTCAGAAATAAGGCTACATTAACTGGAATATAGAATAAATTACAGGGATCAACAGTAGAGCAGATGAAGTAGAGAATCAAATCAGCAATTTGAAATATAGGAAAGCAGAAAACACCCTATCAGAACAGAAAAAAAAAAAAGAACCCCCCCAAAATGAAGACAGCATAAGAGTGTAAGGAGCCTCTGAGACAACATCAAGTGTGCCAACATTCACGATATGGGGGTGCAGAGGAAGAAGAGAGAGAACAAAGAATGGAAAACCTATTTGAAACAGTAATGATGGGAAACTTCCCTAACCTGGTAAAGGAAGTAGACATATAGGTTCAGGAAGCTCAGAGAGTCCCAAACAAGATAAACCCAAAGAGGCTCACACCAAGACACCTCATAATTAAAATGGCAAAGGTTAAAAACAAAAAAGAATCCTAAAAGCAGCAAGAGACAGTTAGTTACTTATAAGGGAGCTCCCCTAAGGCTGTAAGCTGATTTCTCAACAGAAACATTTTAGGCCAGAAGAGACTAGCATGAAATGTTCACTGATGAAAAGTAAGGACCAACAACAAAGATTACTATATATGGTGTGAGATATGTACTAGATTTATCAGGGTGATCACTTCCCAAGTTACATAAAATGTCTAATCACAGGGTTGTACACCTGAAACTAATGTAATATTTAACATCAACTATAATTTAAAATGAAAAGAAAAAAAACACACATGGTTCTTTGGTATTTCCTATGAAGAGGTTTTAACATCTTTTCCAGTTCCGTCATTAATTCAATGAGTAAAATAAAATCTTTGATATAGGTTTATATATGTATAAGAATCATGATTTTACCTTTCTGAACAACCATCTCTGAACAATATCAATAACACCCCCTACACAACTTCACTTTGAATAAGCAACTTCAGGAAGTTCAATTTGCTGAAACATCATTTCACTTCAACTGATTAACAGTGAACTCATCTGGCAAGGGAAGCCCTTAGTGAAACTTACTTTGTAGAGGAAAAGGTCTGAAGGCCCACAGGACAAAATCACCAGAGGAATACCCTATGTGCCCCCCCTCCCGCAATTGAGACTACACCTAAAACTAGAAAAGACTGGAAAGAATGACCAACATGTTGAGGGAGTTACAAAAAAGAGGTCTAATGCTAATGACCCAGCTTCCACCTGGGCCTCTCCTACCTACAGAGGGCTTTACCCATAAGCCTCTGAGTTCCTGACCTGATGGAAATGACTTACTAGCTCATCATTTCAAAGCCACCAAATATACCAAGGGGCCTTAAAACAGAGCTCATGCTAGGTCAGGATGATGCCCTCAAGAAGACAATGCACAAAAATAGTCATTCAGCTACCTGGGCAAACCTCAACAGCAAGATCTTCAACACAAGTAAATGGTACATCACAATACAAAACCATGCAGAGTAGCTGAATATCAGAACATGTAAAGATCTTCAACTGAGAAAATAAATACGTTGACTTACTCATGCCTAGGCAGACTCAAACTCACTTGAAGCTGAGAGCTCTAGCTATACAGAAATTCAACTGCCACATTCCTCACTGCAACACTCAGCCATAAACTTTTGTCCCCCAGCAGGCAAGTGACACACAGATGAACTAGGGTGAGTCACACAAGCTCTGTGCGAAGCTCTTCCCTTGGCTTTTGAAGGTGGCCAGAAATTGCAGGGGGCTGCAAGGCCCAAGGCTCTTCAACCATGTGATGGGGTCCTGGAATTAAATGATTGGCCCAGGAATCAGTGTCCAAGCCAAAGCCAAACTGAGGTGATCAAAGACTGACTATGAGGTGACCCAACAGCAGAAGGCTGCTGAGCAGGCTGTGCTGGAGGAGTAGGCCCCTTCTAATAGGCAATACTTAAACCGCATGTTCTATGTGCAACATCAGAATTTCACTCACCTCATGCAGTGGGGTAACTTTGGAAATACTTCTGCTAACCAACTGGAACCACAGCCCCACAATTTTTTCAAGCTAAGCCAGTCAAAAACAACAACAAACCAGACTCTAAAGAGAACAAAGGGGGCTCTGGACCTTCAGGAGAACAGGGCCCTGGATCGTAACCCATCTAGGGTGCTATACTCCCAGAAACTGGCAGATCTGAGTTCAGAGTGGCTACTCAAAGGATTCAGCTGAGAACTCTCCAAGTCCTCCATCCACCCAGATGTGGAGGTGGTCACCACATTGGAACACCAATGGACTATGGAACTGGACCTGCACTCAGAGATTCAACCCACCACTAATCCCATGACCTCCATATTTATGTCCACATGTCACCCAATTCACTGAACATTTACTAGGAAGCCTCACTGAACCCTCACTGCATGAAGATAAAGCTAACTCCTCCCTAGGAGCTTACCTTTTACAGGGCTGGGAGACACAAACACAGAGATGACTAGAACATAAGACACCTGCATAAGGCGCCTACGAGGTATAAAGTGCTACAAAATCAAAGAGAATCTGCCCTCCCCTTATGAGGCTGAGGAAAAACAGAAAGGAAGAAATGGCCTTTGAAGCAAATTCTGAAGGACATACATGGTTTTCACATAAAGGCAGAGGACAAGAAAGAGCATTCGAGGTCAAGGATATGATGTGAAAACACACACTATATAGTCTGACTTTTCCAGTGTTCTGGTACATCGGGAGACGGGAGCAGAGAAGGAAGATGGTGGAACTGAGGACAAGGACCAGTCTCTTGTCTATGGATCCTCCCCACCTGGCTAAGTACCTAACTTACAACAGATGCTCCCGATGTGTCACATGGAGGTCAGGATGAAGCCCAGTGAGGGCCACTATCAAGAGAGCAGCTGACAGCTTCAGAGGACGATAATGCACCACTTGGGAGGTTGACAAAAGAGAAAAGATAAGGGTAACCACTATCACCTGGCCCCGGGGAGAGCCTAAACGGCGCAAACTGGTAGGTCAAAGGGAAGGGTCAGCTCTAAGAACATTCCAAAGATGGAACCAAAAGGAATTTGCATATAACCCACCCTGATAATCTTACACAAGTGAGTACACCAAGCCAAGTCATAAAGTGCTAGAGGAAAACATGGCCTTAGATGGAGCAAAGGATACCCCCTGGAGAAAGTATGACAATTAAGTTCATGAATATGCTCAATAAGTGTGTGAATTTGAATTAGTTTTCTGACTAGAATTGCAAAGTGTCCAAGACCAAACTCTCCTCATCCCCCCACCCCCAGCCACATTTCCCGTGACCACACCTACTGACACTGCTAGGCACTCAATAAACACCTGGCAAACAAATGAAATAAATAATTGTTAAAGAGCACAAAATACAAAGTTCAAGTAGTGTTGGCATTTCAGAAGAGAATGGTGGTAGGAAAAGTGGGCGCCATTGAGACTGGGATGAGGTAACCCTAAAAGACCAATGGAGATCTCCCCAGTATCACCTGGTAACTTCTGGAATAATGTAGCTGGAATCTGGTGTCTGGGGCTATAGACGGAGGTGGGGGCTTGCAGATTTTTATTTAAGCAAATACATAAAACCAAGGTCAGGAAGACATGTGCCCCCAAATATTAATGTAAATACGTTAAGAGGAAAACTAAGATATGGGGCTTTTCTAATTGTACTGATTTCATTAACCTGTAGATCAGCTATTCACTTTATGCAGGCATTTTGAAATCTCAGCTTATTGTCCCAATTTTGCAGCTGAGACACTGAATCCCAAAAGTACACATTTTACATTAACTCTGTGAATTCCTGTAGAAAATCCTATGCTAACCAGACCTGGAACAAGAGACTGCAGGACAGGGCAGCTGTGGAACTGTGGAAGGGCACTGGAACAGGAGTCACTCCTTCTGGAGGATGGCTGGCCATTCCTTCTACAGAACATGCTGAACCAGCTTATTGCACTGGCCCCTCCCACTTCAACAGGCTGTTTGGAGATCAAACATTACCCACCTGTGCCAAATAACTTTGTAAGCTAATGCACTATCAAATACATATACAGAACTATCAATAGAAGGTACCACTGTTTAAGTAGAAAAGACAAAAAGCCACCCTAGCTGGTTTTGCACAGTGGTTAGAACATCGGCCTGCAGACTGAAGGGTCTTTGGGTCCATTCAGGTCAAGGGCCGGTACCTCAGTTGCACACTCAATCCCAGAGCAGGTAGGGTGGGTACAGGAGGCAACCAATCAATGTGTCTATCTCACATCGATGTATCTCTCTCTCTCTTCCCCCCCTTCCACTTTCTCCAAAAAGCAATGGAAAAAAATATCCTTGGGTGAGAATTTAAAAAAAAAAAAAAAAGACAAAAAGCCCATAAAGTCAAAGAAACTTCATCTAAGGACAGAGATACTCCAGTTGGCTCCCCAAATACTATAATTAAGATAATTAACTTGATTGGCAGCAGCAAATTCACTCAGGTCAAAAAACTCCACTAAAAGCATCACACTCTCCACTTAACAAACAAGTGGGGCCACAACCTCACCACTAACAGCTGGACACCTCGAACAGCATCCCCCAGACTGCAAGTGTCCACCCGGCCTGTCGAAGGGCTTTAAAGCTCAGGTCTTCCCCTCTGACTCTCCCCTTCCCTCTGGCGGGTACACTCAGGAGCGGGCGCGCCAAGCTAACACCTACTTGGGGTGAAACGCTCTGGCACTTTTCAAGCCAGCTCTCCACCCGCTCCCCGGAGAGCGAAGAGAAGACCTCTCCGCAGGCAGGACTCGACCGTTTCCATTTGTTGATAAGGAAACCAGAGGGCAGGCCCCTTCGAGCCCCACTCCACATCTGACACCACCTGACTCCACTTGCAGAACCGTTGTCCGGCCGCACAAGGAGTCTTTAGAGAGCTCGCCCCCCGTAGATCCCACCTCAAAACGCCCTTTAAGGAGCAGGGATGCAACCGGGGACAAAGCGCGCCCTCTTTCTTCTCAAGCGGCCCACGCCCTTCCAGGAACTAGGCCCCCCAGCGGAGCCCAACAGGAGCCCACAGCGCAGCCCGAGGTGCTCACCCTCACGTGATTCTCCACTGCCGCGTGGCCCGCAAGCTTCTTGGCCTCCTCAGCCTTGGACATCGTGCAGGGGGCCAGGGAGGCACTGCCGGCTTCCCCGCCGCTGCTGCTCGTTCCGCCTACGCCGCAAGGAATCCCAGACTGAGCGCACACTGGCGACCGCACGTGGGAGCCCAAGGCACCCCAACTGTTCCCGCCTCCTCCAGAGGCCGCGCCCCCGGCCCGCCCGGGCAGTGGGGCCAGGACCCGCCCGTAGAGGGTGCTGAAGGGCCCCGGGCGCTGCATCCCGACGCCCGGCTCTTGCCTCAGCCAGGGTTCCTCCCCAGGTCCTTCCGGAAGTCTGGTCGTCACGTACACGACGGGCGTCCGCGCGGGCCTTCCTGGGAAATGTAGTTCTGTGGCTTCGGTAGCCCGGTGCCGCGCCCCCAGCCTGGACTACCAGCCCCACAATGCTCCGCGATCGTTACGCAAATTGGCAGCGACCAGCTTTGGCGCTTCGGCCCGTATGGGAAGTAATCGCGTTTGGGGGAACCCGGGAGGTTTTTCCGTCTTCCCGAGCTTCCGAGGAGGGATTTTCGAGCCGACCCTGTTGTTTTCCCAGCAGTAAGGAAGGGGCAGTGGCGGAGATCTCTCGGCGGGGCAGTCGGTCTTCTGGAGACTTCCGTTGGGGGGTGACTTCTCTAGACTCCCAAGAGAAACGCATATGGGACGCCCGCACCCGAAGAGGCCTGGCCGAGACCTGCGGAGGCTCAGGACCAGCACGTTTAGAACCCCGCGCCCTAGACGTTGTCTTGCTCCTTGCGGTACTGGAGGGCCTGCTCCTCCGGATGGAGCCTCGTCCCCTCCGAGTGTGCCCTGCAGAGACCGTGCAGTTCTTGTTGACTAAGAAGGACTTACACCGAACGTAGCAGCTTTCTCTTCTCTCTGTAAGGTGTCTTGCTGGGGGCCATAGTAAGGATCGGAGAATTTTTATTGTCCCCGTTTTACAGAAGAGGAAGTTAATGCCGACCCCAGCCATACCTACCACTAGGAAGTCCTTACCAAGCTTGCAGCCTTTGTGGTTCGCTCCCATGCTGGTGGAATTCCCTGTCTGCCCACGAAGCCATCGTCATACTCCAGGTCTTCTCCCTGTTTGTGCAAAGCACCAGTATGGGCCCCTAAGCGCCCTCGTCACGGATCCTCTTTACTATGCCCACTGAGGCTGTCAGCCCCTGGGCCTCTCCGCCTTATTCTAAGGAAGAAAAGTTACTTGCGGTGATGTTTGAATCCTAGGTTTTAAGCAGAATTTAGAAAGTAGTACAAAGTTATGGCTAAGATGCAAGAGAAAATATTTGGGACGCCCCCCTACTTTTGGTCTGTGCACCTCTGAAGGCCACCTGAGTCAAACCAATGACCTTTTCTGCATCCTCTGGGGGGGCAGTCTTTTCCCCATTCTCGCCCCTCAGTACTCACTACCCAGAGGTTGGAGCAACTGTTCGTAGCCAGTCTCTGCTTTACCCCTCCAGCCTCCACATTTGCCCTGGGGCTTCCCACCACATTAAATGCTCTCCCCATCTCCGCACTACCAGCTGAATCTTATCCTTCCCTCAGCCAAAATGCCACCTCCTCAGTCTTCCTGATCACCTTGTCTAAACCGGGTTCCTACCCACCCATCTATCACTTTACCCATTGTTTATTTCCAGCAGACCTCTCACGGATTTGTTTACTTAGTCTTGTACTTGTTTATTATCATCCTCTCTAGAAAATAATATTTCTGAGGAGAGGGACTTTGCTTTTTCCCTACAGCATCTTCCATGTGTCTGTCCTATAGATAGTCCACAACACACACCTAGAGCAGAATTGGATAACAGATTTCTTGCCTCAGCCTCACACTCTGTCTTCAGCCAGACAGAATTTCAGTCTGCTGTGCACATCTTATCTCCATGTCTTTGCACACAGTTACCCTTCTAGCTCTCAGACAACCTTAGGGACTCCTCCCCTGCTGGGATAGCTGCTCTTCTGTGCTTCCAGTCACCTGTACCCTCTCTGTCATAATTTATCTCAGTCTATTCACTTCACTGTCTCATTCTAAAGACTACAAGTCACTTGATGGCAGAGACCTTTTCCTTATAGAATGGGCAGCGCCTGGCTCCGTATTTTGAGGGTGACCAATGTTCTACAAAATTCTCCCTGTCTGTGCCTCTCTCTTTTCTGTCTTCCCAATCTTGCGATCCTTTCTCATTCCTGCCCCACCTAACCCTTCTCCTTAGGTCTGCAGTGATGCCCACTGATTCTCACAGATGTTCTAAAGTTCCACTGGCACCTCTTGGGGCTGAAGACTATGCTGACCCTTGGAATGGTATGTTACCATGTTCCTAGGACACTTACTTGCATATGTATTGGTGATGGAGCCAAGTACCAAGCTGAATGCTTTGTAGATGCTGTCACACTTAGTCCTAACAACTCCAAGAAGTAGGTACTGTTACCCCCATTACACAGAGGAAGCATTAAAGAAGTCCTCACTTAGCCAAGGCCCCGATGCCACCACCAATCTAGCTGTAAACTTTGATGTGTGTAAACCACACAAGTCATGCGTTTAGTCTTTCAAGTCACAAGTAATAGCAAGGACCCTGAGAGAAAATGGATAAAAAGGGAAAAAAGAATGAAAAAACTATAAATGGGGAGGTATAGTTTTCAGATCCTGGACCACATTCCAGGTCTCACAAAGGTGAGATCAATCTACTTTATAATCTTAGTAACACACCAAAAATTTTAATTTTTTTTGTGGATTACTCACATTGAGAAGAACCACATGTGGCTCATTTTCCCCTCTTTCATGGAATCTTACATCCTTGGAACAGATTTCAGGGCCAGAATGAAGGATCACAGGGACAAACCCACCCTGCACTATAACTGGTGATGAGAGGGCCTTGGGCACCTCACCCCTGATGGCTCCAGTGTGGTCCAGTCTGAGAGGAACACTGAGTACTTCCCTTAGTCCTGGGGTGTAGGCCCCCAGGGAGGTACACAGCACCATCAATGCCTGCCTGTGCTTCAGTGGAGCAGGAAATCTCTCCCCACTTCCCACCTCCCTCCCCTACCTCTGTTTTCCTCAGTGTGGTCATTTGGAAGGGGGCTCCCAGGGCCAGCTGTACAGAGCTACAAAGCAGAAGCTGGAATGGATTTGGGGTCCTGCCAGAGGCAAGTGGTGCTGACTCAAATACACCTCAGGCTAGAGTTCAGATTGACCTAGTTTTATACAGCAGTTATACTAATTTAGAAATAGGTACTTTAGCTGACATCCGACTCTCACACACTTAGGCTGGTCTTTTGGAGCCTTAACTTGTGGCCTGCATTGCTTCATCCCGTTCCTGAGGGCAAGTTTATTGTTTACTAATCATTTTCACTGGCTGGAAAGGCCTAGGAAGACGTGAGACCTTATCATTTCTGATAGGCTATTGATTAAAGTGAGCCACGGTAAATACATCAGTATTGCCACCCTGCTATACATTTAACACTGGGGCATAAACCAGCAATCCTTTTACCAAAACTGAGTTTTCCTGCTGGTTGACCTCATGGTTCTGAGAAAAAAAAATAAATGTATAGCACAATTACTCCTGCTGTGTGATACCAGGCTGCCTTTCAAAATCTTTACAGAAGTGCTTGTCAACTTGGAGTGATTCTTGTCCCCAAGGGGATACCTGACAAAGTCTAGAGACATTGTCACAACTGGGAGATGCTCCTGCCATTGAATGGGAAGAGGCCAGGGATGCTGCTAAACACCTGACATGCACAGATAGCCACACACACAAGGAATTTCCCCACCCAAAGTGTCAATAGTGCATTAGGGTTCACTCTTGGTATATCACATTCTGTGGATTTGGACAAATGTGGAATGGTGTGTATCCTCCGCTGCAGTATCATGCAGAATAGTGTTGCTGCCCTAAAAGTCCTCTGTGGCCCTGGCTGGTTTGGCTCCGTGGTTAAAGTGTCGGCCTGCAGACACATTAATTGGTTTCCTCCCACAGGTGCCCCGACCATCGCTGGGGAACAAACCTGCAACCAAGGAACATGCCCTTGACCCAGAATCGAACCCAGGACCCTTTGGTACTCAGGCTGACACTAACCACAGAGCCACACCAGCCAGGGCTGACAATTAGCTTTTCTGATTTTAATGTAACTGGCTGATGTTAAGCTGTTTATTGCTGAGGCACCCACTTCAAATCTGGAATAAACACATTGCCAGTTGCACAACTAGACCAAGAGCCAGGCTTCCCACCCAGGAGAGACAAAGAAAAACATGGATATGAGAGGAATGCATCGATTGGTTGCCTCCCACACGTGCCCTGACTGGGGCTGGGGATTGAACCTGCAACCAACCGAGGTATGTGCCCTTGGCTGGAATCAAACCCTGATTACTGAACCAAATTGGCCAGGCCTGAACTGTGTCTTACTATAAAAAGAATCACAGGGCCAGTTCAGCCACAACGCTGGCTCTGAAAGAACTGTCTGGAGTCCACACCAGTAGTACAGGCCCCAAGGAGTGCCCCGGGCATTGCCAGCTCACAGCATCACTGTTCATAGGCTGAGACCAACACAGAATTGTGTGGCTATAAAGGAGGTCTTTGTGGTGATGGAACACTTCTGCCTCTTGACTGTAGTCGTGGTTACATGAATTTATACATGTGATAAAATAGCACATATCTACACTGTACCAATATTAATTTCCTGGTTTTGATATTGTGGTGTAGTTGAATAAGCTGTAAAATAGCTGTAATTTCCTGTTAAAATGTTAAAAAGCATACAGTTGTATGTAAACTATACTGCAATAAAGTTAATTTTTAAAAGTGATTTGTTAAATGTTTGGCAAAGTGCAGTGTAACAGCCTGAGTTCATGCTTTGGAGCCAGAAAGAATTGCATCTACCCTTTTACTTTCTTGTTTAATGTCAGAGAAGAGTCATACATAACCTCTCTGAGTATCCATTTTATCAACTGTAAAATTGATACAATACCATCCATATTACAAGGTTGTTGTGAGGGGGGAAATCTACATAGAATACCTAGTTCAAGTAAGCATTCCACAGATTTCACAGATTTTTCCATTCCCTTACCCCATTATGAGATTTCTCATATAAATGAATTCATAAATTATTTAAAATATTCTTTGTCTGGGCTGGCCAGCGTGGTAGAGCATCGGCCTATGATCTAAGAGATCGAGGTTCGATTCCCAGTCAGGGCACCTGCCGGGGCTGCAGGCTCGATCCCCAGTCGGGGGCGTGTAGGAGGCAGCCGTCATCATTGATGTTTCTCTCTTTCTCCCTGTCCCTCTCTGAAATCA